AACCCAAACCAACCATATATTTTGCAACGTGTTAAAAATCCTTGCTGGGCTGCAGAGCCCCACTTCCTTCCATAGCTTGAAATCAGTTTGCACGTTGTGGTTTTAAAGAGAGGGCGATGCTCCTCCACCACTCCAGAGGTAAAACTGGGTTGTTACAGAGCAATTGGAAGAGTTTTGCCTGGCTTCTTCTGAGGTTTCTTCTCCCTCTGTTAATATATACCAGCAAAATCGGACCCACCAGGGACTGGCCAGATGGCTGACAGGCAGGTGGATGGGCAGGGGGGTTATAGCTCACAGGGCATGAAAGGGAAGTGGGGGAAAAAAGGGAAAAGCTCAAAAATCTGGTCAAAAATCTTAGTGATTGGACTGCTCCATCCTGCACAGCGCCACCGGCCCTTGCCTGCTCTCCTGGCCAGGGCTGGCATCACCATCTGGGTTCTTCCTTCTGCTCTACTGGTGGGGACTCCTCATCCCACAGTCAGCAAACAAATGCAGGAGGGCTGGACAGTCACTTCTTGGTCAAGATACTTTCCTGGAAGCCAATTTTTAGTGAGGAGGAATGTTCAACCTCCCCGGAGACGCAATCTTGGCCAACTGCTGCCCCCGTCCTCCTCTGCTGCCCCTGCATCATGAGGGACCACTGCGGGCAAGCCACCCACTGGCATGGCAGGAGCTGCCTCCAGGCCTGCATCTCCTCCTCCTCACCATGCTGTGGGGCCAAACGCTCCCTTTCCCATGTGAGTCTCCATCCTCCCCTGTGGTTTGGCCCCGAGTCTACGGATGTGACCTGGGAAGGGCACAGCAGTGCCCACTGTGGCAGGGATGTGGTCCAGGATGGGCGGGGTGCCCCAGGAAGCAGCCTCACAGAGGAGGGAGGAAGAAGAGCAGGAGGTGGAGGTCACCACTGCCTGCTCAGGGACACCTGGGCTGCAGCCCAGGGCTGCCCCACAGGACAAAACCATGGTGGCTCCAGGGGCTTCTGAAATCAGCCGTGAGCATGCTGGTGTCCATCACCATCCCAGCTCTGCAGCACCTTTGCAGACAACCTCGCAGAGTCCTCTCCCACGCAGGTCACAATGCCAAGCCACCTCTTTGCTCTGTCCCTACGGGACTGTGGGCCACCACTCCTGCAGGGATGCTGGTGGGTGCAGGGATAATGTCACATACGAGCCGTGTTTCAGAAAAGAGCAAGGGGTGGAGTGGTGGAGGGCTGAGTCCTCTCCAAGTTTTCTCAGTTCATATAGCTACAGATGAGCTGCACGACATCAGCCACAGGCTTGGAAAACATCATCATCTTGCCTATGGATCACAGTTGTCCTCCCATCTCAGTCTTGCTTTGGGAACTTGTTATCCCCCAGTTATCTGCCAGGACACACTCCATACCAAGATAACCCCTTGAAGCCTGATGTTGCTATTCAGTATTCAGAGATGATCGAGTGAGTCCACCAGACCCAGAGGTCATCTTGGACACTGCCACTGACCTCTCCTTATGATCCCTCAGTTCTTCACCCGTGCTTTTTACCAGCAATGTCTTCTTCCACAGCAAGCAATGAACAACCTTGACTCAGGAACATCTAGAAACACACAAACAGCAAACCTCCCTGTTTCCAAATCCTTTTGTAGGTTTGAACCCATTCAGTGTCCTGCTCCAAGACTGGGTGCTCACGGAGAGCTGTCTCCTTGCACTGGTCCAGGGCGGACATACTGGAAGCCCCTTATAAGAAGTCTTTCCTATCTCCAGAGGCTAAGCGCTTGGAGATATGGATCAGTCCCAAGTGTCTCACTCCAGATTTTGGCTCATCTTCTCTTAAAACCTGGGGCTGCCTTAGGGTCCTGGTACAGATGCACCAAGATCCAGCAAGGAAGGGAGAGCAGAGGGGCTGAAGGAATGGCCCATGCAGAAACCCATCCTCGGCTGAAGCATGTGCTGCTCTCTGGCCATGTGGTCAGGAAGAAAGCTTGTCCCAGGTCCTACAGTGCAGCCTGGGGTTTTGGCACTGCTGATGGGGACAGACACCTCCCCGCCCTACCCACTGCAACGCACACCTGGCGCACAGCCCTTGGACCCCCACCTGGGGCTGGAGGCACAAGGAGTGCCATGGTTCCTGGTGTACAGCCACTCCCAGCCTCCCCTCCCTCCTGGGGGTCCTGCAGTGCCCGTGATCCTTGGGTAGCCATGCCCATGCTCACTGGGGACCCAGGGGGCCATCTTTGTGACGACCAGAGCTGGAGAGCATCTCCCAAGTCTGTGGTGGTCTCAGTAGCTTTGCTGAGACCCTCTGCCACCAGCACTGGCAGCTCATGGCAGATGGCTTGGGGACAGAGGTAGTTTTTGTGCAACCACCACCCTTGGTTGTTGCTCCCCAGCCTGGGCTCAGGAGACAAAATCTCTTTTCCTCACACAGCCTGTTAGGTAAGACTTGAAATTCATTTTCTTCTTGCCAGCTCAAATTGTAACATCTTTTCCTTTCTTGCCTCGTGCTTTTTTTTTTTTTTTTCCAGCTGTCCAGATCCACATCCTGAAAGCGGAAAAAAATGCTGACTGGTGGAAGTTCACCGTCAACATCATCTCCGTCTACAAACAAGGGAGCAACCGGATACGGCGCGGAGACCAGACCCTGTGGATCCACTCCAAGGACATAGCGTGCAAGTGCCCCAAAATCAAACCCATGAAGAAGTATTTGCTGCTGGGCAACAACGAGGACTCTCCTGACCAGAGCGGCATCATTGCAGACAAAACCAGCCTGGTGATACAGTGGCGGGATACGTGGGCTCGGCGGCTCAGGAAGTTCCAGCAGCGGGAGAAGAAGGGGAAGTGTAAGAAAGCCTAAAGGAGGAGAAGGCAACGGAGCGCACGAGAGGGAGAGACTGACTGTGCATGCTGCTTTGTGTAGAGCTGGGGCGGGCAGGGACCGGCGATGGGGACGGTGGGAGGAAAGTCGTGCTGTCGGGGCGGGCGGGGGGGGACGGGAGGGATGGCAATCACAGCTGTGAGGCTGTTAGGTTTGCACCTCAAATTCTGGGAGAAAACAAAACAAAACAAAAAAACAACAAAAAAAATTGCACACGTGAATATAAAACAAGAGGAGTGTGGGTGCGGGTGTGCAGCACCCAGTGCACCCTGGCTTCTTTCTGCCCTGTTGGCTGAAGAAATCAGAGACACCAAACTGCCTTCCAGCTGCCAACGTCTGCTGCTTCCAAAGCATGGCATGGGAACATCAAACCTGTAGGAAACTAATCAATAGTGATGATGGAAATTAACTTCCCGTTCCCTAAAATGCATATTTTCAGCTTACGTTGAACAAGACGTTATCTTAGAGGAAACTAAACCAACACTTGCTGCTGAGGACAGATCTGAGGATCGACTTTGAAGACTCTTTGGCATCTGATAGCTGTAACAATCAGCTGTTGTACGGTACCGAGGAGCAGCCGAGGTCTCCAGTTGTGGCAAAGCTCTGGTCCCAGTTAGGCACAGCAAAGAGGAAACCACATTAGTGGGTGACCTCCATGTAGGCAAAACTTGGGGAGTGACTCCTTGCTCCGGCCCTCAACCCCTGAGGAGCACTGCCCCCCGCTGCCACGCCGAAGGAGCATGAGCCCACGGGATGCCCTGGCCTTCTCCCACCCACCAGTTCACAGTCGAGGAGTTAATAACCAGGATCTCCAAGGAAACACACAGGCATTGCAAAAAAATAAGTTGGCATCCCATTCCCATAGATGCCCTGGAAGATCTCTCCCATCGCAGCCCCTGAGTCTCCGCTACGGCCACCCCTGAGACCTCTGCCATGGACTTGGTCCTCTTCTGCTGTCAGCAGACTGATGAACCCTCAGATGATAGAAAACCCATGCAGATGACACCCAGGTCCTGGCTGGCCACTGGTTTCACTCCCAAATTCAACCAGCTCTCCTGAACGCACATCAGCTCTGCCCTCGCTCCCTCTGGAGCTGAAGCTCCCCAGCAGCCCTGCGTGAGGTGGCCAGCCCTTGGGAGACAAAGGAGGTGGGACAGTGAGTGCCAAGGGACTGTCCCCATGGGCAGCAGGGCCAGCACAGCGCTCTGAGGCCTGGCCAAGTTACAGCCAACGCAGCGCAGAGATGTGCCCCAAGGGCAGACGTGCTCTCAGCCAGGGACGGGCCAAGCAAGGTGTGACCCACCTGGAGCTCCCCAAACTGTTCTCCTCCTTCTGCTGGGTGTGAAAACCATCAAATCTAAATTTCCCAATCTCTAATTGCTAATGCACTAAGCAAGGCAGCGATTGCCTCACCTGGGTCTCACAGGCTCACACCCCACGCCCCAGCCCTAGGGCTGGAGTATCTTTCCCCAGGGCACTCTACCGGCAGGACTGGCTGTTGTTTGTTACCCAGACGTTGTGTCCCAGTGCCAGGCTGCTCCCCTGCCGCCCCGGCCCACAAGGAATGGGGATAGCTGAGTTCACCTAATCGATGGAGACAGGCAATAGCCTGGGCGGAAAGGCAGGGAGGGCAGGATGGGTACCTGGAGGAGAAGCAAACATTAGTCGCTATGAAAAGCAAAACCTCCCTGATATTTTTCCTTTTAGGAAACTTGGAAACATCTATTTTATGACATTTTCCAGTGGTTTTGCCTTGTTTTATAGCAATTGACAATATTTATATAATGACATAAACCACCATAAAGCGAGGCAGCCATGTAAATAGGTGTAAAGTGGAGGGCTCCCAGGGAAGCACCGGCCAGTGCCGGGCTGCTGGAGACACCACCCGGAGGGAGCGAGCGCTGCTGAGCCTCTGCCTGCAACTGCAACGGCTCCGAAATTAGTTTGGCTATTAGGAGAGAAATCCCACCCTGGATGCAACACCCCCAAGACCATGTTTTCTCCCCTTACCCAGAGCAGCCTCGTTTTTCCTTACTTCAGAACTCAGAGTCAACTGTTTTGCAGTCAAGAGAACCCAAGCCATCAAGTTTTGAGGGATTAAATCTGACCTCAAGTGTCTAAATGGAAGCTTAAAGCCCCAGAGTGGGTCTTGGATGCTCTCCTGCATCAACTGCATCTCCTGCATCAACTGATGGTTGGAGATAGCTTTGCCTCAGTTGACTGGATGCCCTTGAACCACGGGAGACCTTGAAGTGGCCTAAAAGTAACCAGATCCAATGCAAAGCCAGTTCTCCACTTGGAGAGCAGGAAGGCAGGGCCAGGGGACGTGGGGACTTGGGAACTGCCCTCCAAGCATGCCTAGACACCCAACACTCCCATTTTCCAACCTTGGCACACACAGCCGTTGTCCCTAGCACAGCCTTGACACCCACCAAACCCACCCAGGGACAAGCCCCAGCCCCTTCCCAAATCCCACCGGTTTGGAGGCTGCAAGGAGAAACACCACCCACTCTGTCCCATGGCCAGACCCCTCCAGGCACTGACACAACCCAGGAAATCGGAAGGAACTGGAATTTGCACAAGATGTGAAACAACTCGGAGCCCGCTGCAGCCAGAGCGACCCCCCCGAAAGAAGCAAAGTCCCCCCATCCCTGTCCCCCCAGGACCCCATCCCTTGATCCCTGCTGGAGTTCTGCGCTTTCCAACCAGACTAGAGAAGCCCCTTCACTCTGTCCACAGTCCCCCTCTTGCGCTCCCAGTAGCCTTGACCTGCAGGAGTTGCCCATGTAACTGGTGCACAGCCTTCCTCCTCTGGGGAAGGCAGAGCAGCCCCATTTTCAGGGTGTCCAGGGATGCAACTCTTCCCTGCAGCCACCCCTGCTCCTGGCGGGACACCTCTGTCCAGTCACCCAAAGAGGGACAAGATATCACCCCTAAAATCAACCCCCATGGCTGGGGGTGCAGCTCTGTTGGGGTACCAACAGCATTACAACCAGCAAGGACCCCAGGCGCCCACCCATTGCCCTGGGGACAGGACCGAGGTGCTTGTGGGGGCAGAGGGGTTGGCCGGGGAAGGGGATGTGGTGCCTTCAGCGCGGCTTCGGAGAGCAGCTGAAATGCCAAAACAATCATCACTCGACGGTAGCACCTGACAAAAGTCGTTTCGTCTCGTTTCTGTTCGTTTCGTCGTGTCCATGCCCTCCCCCCGCACACCCACCTCCTCTCCCCTCAGAAAACCTGTGTTCCTTTTGGGGTTGGTTTTTTTTTTTTTTTTTTTTTTTTGGTTATTTCTGTTAATATCTTGAACTGTAAATGTTGTTTAGTTATGACCATTGCATACTGCTTTGGGCAATGTTTCTTTACAATGCATACTAATATATTATGGTTATTATATATGAATATATTTAATGACACGTGAAAAAAGTTGTGGATTTTCTTATTGTTTTTCCAAGTTGTTTTGTTCTTTCTTTTTTTTTCTTTTTTCCCTCTTCGTTTGTTTCGTTAGATTGGCTGTAATTGAACCTGAAGGAGCTTGTAACTGTTCAGCACCCACTCGGTAGAACTAAAGTCAGAAACCAGTTGAATAAACTCTTGTAAACTGTAAAAATCTCCAAGGATCTCTGCTTCCTCCTACCCCATGGGTCAGCAAGCTCCAGGGATGGGGACCTGGGTGGAGAAGTGATGGTGTCTCCTCCACCTCCCTCGGTCCCCTCAGCAGACTCCAAGGGGGTGCGCAGCTATTTCTGACCCGTGTGTCCCACCAGCACCCTTCCAGCAGCGCTCCCTGCCAGCGGCCACAGCGACACTGGGGTCACTGCGGGCTCACAGCGGGTGGGATGGGGGGTCCCCACCGGCACCTCTGAGATTGCTGTGAGCTCTGGACCAGCGTACGCCCCGCCAGGCTCCCCATCCTTCCTCTGCTGCCAGAGGAGACTGTGCCCTGCAGCGGGACAGAGCCAAGGGCAAGCTGAAACCCACGGGACCCCTCTCAGAGGGGTGGACAAGCGTGGGGATGGGGGACAGCCAGAGCCTGGGGTCAGGGCAGCTGCCAAACCCACTCCAGACCCATTTTCTGCCCCACCCACAGGCTGCTTGCCAGCACTGTCCCATCCATGGCCGGGGTCCAGGCTCCATCACCCATCTCCCAGCGGCACTTGCAGCCAAGTGCTAGAAAGGAGGCGGGGGGTGTGTGTGGGGGAGTGTGTGCACGTGAAGGGGAAGTAAGGCAGCAAAACACTTCCAGAGAGAAAAATACAGGCAAAAGGTCCTGCAAACTGCTGAGGGGTCAGCCTGCCTGACCCAGGCCTTTAGCGTCCCTCGTAATTTATGAATTTGAAAACATCTCAGAGGTCAGAAATCTCAGATCTTTATTGCAGAGACAAACGGGTCACAAGTGCCACCACCTCTGCTCCAGGGCTGTCACCTGTGGCTCCACGAAGAAGCAAATGGGTTTCCCAGATCGCTCTGGCTCCACGTCCTCCTGGCAGGCAGCTGGTTGTCCAAAGAAGCCACGATGGCTCTGAAAATTGGGGAAGGACTCCTGGGGAAGGAGCGTTTGCTCTCAGCCTGGTCCCACCAGGCAGCGGGAGAGCAGCCGCCCACTGTGCCCAGCTCAGTGCTGAGCCCACACCCAACCTCCAGAAATAAAGGCATGTGAAAATAAAGTCCCAGCAGCCTTTCAAGATCATCTTTATCCTCACGTAGGAGCTAGGGACTTCTTATCAAGGGCACTTGGACATGTAAGTGCCTCTAACACATACCAGGCCTTACCCCAGCACTTGTATTTTTGATGAAATAACAACTGGAAGCAGCTGAACTCCTGAGCACATCCTCTGAGAGACATGGAGATGCACAGAAAGGTGAAGCCTCTCCAGGCACAATCCAGGGGAACAGGGAAGAGCTTTGCTTGGAAAAGCCACAGCAGTGACTCCAGCAGCCCCATGGCACAGATTCAATGGGCAGCTTGAGCATCCTTTGCCCTCTGCCTGGAAATCTGAGCAGCCAGCAGCATGGGGAAACTGCACTGCCCCCCCCCA